CCTTTTTAAAAGGCTTTGGATCATCAGACTTTACTTGAGAAATGAAAAGAAATTTACATGAGAAATGAAAAGAAATTTACACATTTTTGACGGACCGCAATATATATATATATATATATATATATATATATATATATATATATATATGGGGATAACGATAAAGATATATACCGTATATCCTCGCGTATCATCCGACTTTTGATGACCTAAGGGGTCACATCATACAGGAGGTATAAAATTAGCATATGTTCAGATGGCAGTGATTACGCCATTGACCAAACTATATATCCATTTACTGTAATCAAAAAGTAGAGCTGTATTTAAAATAAACATGATTTTGATAAAACTAATGTTTTATTAAACTGTATGCAATAATAATGCATGTAATATTCACATATTAGAATCGTATTATAAAATACAAACATGGCGAATATGCATCTTTTACCATTGTTTAAGTTTCTAAGATGTTTAGCTGTTTCTCGTTCGGTTGTTTATGGCTGGACGCGTTTACGCAACGAGTATAGCGTTACTAACGATACTTTTAGCATTCTCTATTACTTTTTTAATTTATTTAACTAGAAGATGGGATAAAGAGATAGAGGAAAAGAGGTTAGTTTATTGTAATTTGGTCTCTCAAAAAAGGAACTCGTATAATACACGAGATACATGATAAAATCATTTCGTATCTATAGAAATATGGGGTCGCACGATACGCGAAATCGTGTTATACGAGTATATATGTTAAATGAATATTAGGAAAATTTTTTTATTTAAAAAAAAAATCTTTAGTTTAAACCTACATAAAATCAAAGTTCGGCCCCTAAGGTGGAGAAATAGCGTACTGTGTAAGCTTCCGAAATCTTTTGGAGCTGATTCGTTATCTAACTGAACTGATCTTTTGCATTCTACCAGCAACGCCGATAAGCGGGATCTTGATCTATGGACAGCACATAATCTTTAAAGCTTCCGCCTGGAAGTGATACACACAGTTACGCCATCGTTTTCCAAGACGAACGGATGCTAACCCCCAGGCATTTTTTCTCTCGTGTCGATGATCGCTTCAAATCTAAACGAACCTCCTTTCTTTGAAATTGTATTGAATCTCAAGTACACACCAGACCTCAAATTGAAGTCAAATATACAACTCACACTACTAATATTCGGACATTTCAGCCACTGTGCTCTGCGGACTTCATCAGGTGTACTGTCGAGGTGGGTAACCTACAAAGAATTCTGAACTGAAGCCTCTATTTAACGTCGGGGGCGGAGAACTAATGAATTAAAGCGCTGGTTTATGAAATTAGTGGCAAAGTGATTTTGAGTTCAATTCCTGGTCCGGGCAGTGCGTATTTGGAATCGATGGGAACGAACGATCAATAACTGAGCAGTATTTCCTAGACCGATGTCCCTAGACTAGTCTACTCCCGTAGATTAGAAAGAGTTCAGATCAGAATTCCTTGTAAATTTCTCAGATCGATATACACATGACGAAGGCCAGAGGTCACAAAAGCCGAAACGTTGTGGTAACGACAAGAAAGAAAGTGGCAATAATCCGAATATAAATAATGCAAATAATGATAGCTCCTTATCCAAGAAATTCAGACAACATAAGGTAATAGGTTATTAAATAATCTTGAAAATAGGTCGGCTCACCATCTCGCGTCTTGAAAACAAACTATTCTCCAATAATCATTGTAATGGTCATCTTTCGATCTCTCTTTAGGGCTGTCTTATGTATTGTTGCTCATTTTATTATAAAAATGTACTGTTGATTTTTATTTGAGAGTTCCCTATATACCCATACTTGGGACCCTAACAGATGCAACCACCTCGAGTCAGTGTGGACCTGTCAACAACGGCATTTAAGAGGGGCTCCCACGTTTCTTCAAAATCTCCAGTCTCCTAATCAGAGGCCTTGCTTTCGAAAATAGTTTAAAAAGATCTTTCTTCAGGAATGTTCAGTCATTCTTCTTAGCAGTAAGACCAAAACTTTTGTAAGTTTTTTTTTTTTTGGCTTTCAATTAAACACTTGACCTTTCATCTCCCTAACGGTGTGGCGCGCTTCATAGGTGCGGTGGAACAGGATAGCAGGTGAGGCGGAAGAGGATAGCAGGTGAGACGGAATAATTGAAAGACAATCAAAGATTTAGAAACAATTTCAAAAAATCCGTATGCCAAAAATAAATCTCATTTTAAAATGTAAAATATTATTATTGATTGCTTGTAGTTGAATGTTTAAATCCCAGTATAAATAGTTATGAGTAATTATTGACATGTTTTTACCATTCTGATATTTTTGCCTTTGATTAGGTCTTAAGAATATAGTAACTAGGGTCTGCAAATTGGAGAAAAGAGTTATCAGTGATAATGTTCTGACTTAGAATCCGCGTTTAACTTCCTTTAACCTTTTCTCTGTTCTTTTTTTTTCTTTTTGTTATTTTTAAATTTACTTTTTATCACATAAAATTTGGGGAGCAAATTTTCATTCCGAAAATGCGACACAGACAAAAAATGTTTGGGTACCACTGAATTAGACAATGTTTAATATTGCTATCATATTTTCATTCAAAGCTCACTCTCCAGATATTAAAATCGTTTTTTTTTTTTAAGGGATAGAACATATTCTCTATTCTTTTGTCTCCTACCTCCTGTTTTTCTCCTTAATAGTTTGTTTAATTTTCTAATATTCTTAAACACTCAGTAATCTCTTGTATCTTAGTGGCTTCATTGCTTTGTTTGGGGTTTCTTATGATTATCAAAATGACAGAAAATTGATAGCAGGTTTATTTGAATGGAAAACAAGTCTTATACTAAAAATAAATATGATTTCAAAATTTAAAATATTATTATGGATGGCTTGTAATTGCATGCAGGAGTCCCTGTATAAAAAGTTATAAATAATTATTGACCAATTTTATCACTGTGATATTTTTGCATTATATCAAGTATTAAAAATATATTAACTCGGGTCTGCAAATTAGAGGAGAGAGTTATCAATGATAATGTTCTGACATCGAATCTGCGGTTATCTCCCTTTAACCCTCACTCTGATTTTTTTTTAAAATTATTTTTAAATCTACTTTTTATCACTTAAAATTTGGTAAGTGAATTTTCATTCCGAAAATGCGACCCAGAGAAAAAGAAAGATATTTGGGAACCATTGTATTTATTGCTATCATATCTTAATTCAACGCTCACTATGCAGATCTGATAGATTTTAAAATCGTTTCTTGCGGGGATAGGACATATTTTCTACTCTGTAACATTTTCGGTTGTTCATGATGACCGTCGTCTTTGAGTATAGAATTCAGAGGTTAGCAGTGAATATTTCGAAGACGGTAGGGAAGCGTTGTTCAGGTTAGCAGTGGATATTTTGGTAAAAAGTAGCAGAGCGGAGTACGTCCTTCTGTTTCTCTTCGCCTGACAAGCTGGCACTAGACATTCGGATA